AATGAACAAATGAGTAAGTGGAGGAAGGCAGACTCCATGTAGCCATCCCCCCCCACCCCCAGAAGTCAGAATCTGGATATTTAAATTTCTATCCAATTAAAAAAATTCACCAGGCTGGCTAAAAATGTATTCAAGAGCTACCAGTTTGAGACCCCTGCCCTACAGGGATCTGGGTCAAATGGGAACAGTGTTCCTCCTGTTCAGATGGTGGTGGCCCTCTAGGAACAGAGCGGTTCACTGGGAGCCACCAGCCCTCGCATCCCCAGGTTCAGGCCTGGGGATGTGACAACTGTTTGTTATTACAGACCAAAGTCATCCAAGCACTTCGTTCAAAAAGCAGGATGTGGGCTGCAAGCTTCCAGCCCATGGTTCAAAGGAAAGCAACTTCAGCAGTGTCTCCTGGGATGTTTTCTGAAGCCTCCCTGGGAGGGATGGAGCCTGTCAAAGGACTAATAATAGACAAGCATGTCCAGTTCCCCAAATATGTCAACCTTTAAAGTGAATAATATTTTTTCCTCACTACTTTTGAATTATTATGTAGGGAGGGACATTCTCCTGTGACAGGCTTTGCTCTCCACAGGTCACCTAAAAATGACTTGCCACTCAGCAGCTCCCAGGCAAAATCATCATAGTAGGACCCGAGCTTCCTTAAGCAGAAGTTCACGGTCACAGGTTGAACTGCATCCTGCATTATCCTTTTATCACCAGTATGATTTGTAGTTAGGTTGGCCTATACACCATTCAACAGCAGTGTGTCTTGGGGCGTGTATCTTGATCACCCTGAGTCTCACTGTCCTTGATCATAATGAGTTACCAGACCTACACAGGTTGTTGGGAGGACTAAATAAGACAGTACAAGTACCTGACACTGATCTAGCCCCTGATGTTTATCATTGTTAAACACCTACTGGACATGAGTGGGGGTAAAGGGTGATCTCCTTCAATTTTTCATTGACTCATTTGTTCACACAATCACTCACTCACTCAACCACTATTTATTGAGCTCTTAGGAGATGTCAGGCTCTGAGCTTGGTGTTGGGTGACACAATGGCAAGCAGCATCTGCTCTCAGAGCCCAGGTCTAGTGAAGGAGTTCAGAGTCTAGTGTGGTGCTGTCTTCCCAGAGTGTGGGGCCCAGAGGGCATGTTTAGATGCAGTGCACGGACAGGGCACTAAAGCACACCACATACTCATCTAGACGACTATTACTCTTGATTTCCTTCCATCCTCCCATCCAGGAGAGAGTCCCAGTTGGATGTTAGTGTGTCTTTAGTATTTCTCTAATAATATTTTTTGTTTCCTTTCTTAACAAATAAAAGAAGATCCCAATGTAGCTGTTTTGGGCAGGTGGCAGCATTTGGAGAGATTTAGTAATATGGATACCTCCTGTTATTCAAACTCAGAAACCAGATAGGCTTTTTTTTTCTTTCTTCCCAGATAGTATACAAATATGACCAGCATTTGTGAAGATGGGTCAGTAATAAATAAAGTTGAAATACTAACCTATTAAATCTCTTTTCCTGATGACTTCACAGGTGAATTTTGCCAAACATTCAAAGAAGAATGAACACCAATCCTTCTTGAACTATTTAAAAAAATTCAAGAGGAGGAAAGACTCCTAAGCTCATTTTACAAGGCCAGCATTATCCTAATTCCCAAACCAGATAAAGATACTATAAAAAAAGAAAATTATAGTCCAATATCCCTGATAAATGTAAATGCTAAAATCCTCGACAAAATGTTAGCAAACTAGATCCAGCAATATATTAAAAGGGTTATACATTATGATCAAATGGGATTCATTTTGGGGATGCAATGTTGGTGTAGCATTTGCAAATCAATAAACTTGATACACAACATACACAAAATGAAGGATTAAAAAAAACCACATGATCATATCAATAGATGCAGAAAAGAACATTTGACAAAATCCAGCACCCATTTATGATGAAAACTCCAGTAAAGTGGGAATAGTGGAAACATACCTCAACATAATAAAGGCCATATATGACAAACAACAGCCAACATCATAATCAATGAGCAAAAGCTATAAATGTTTTCCTTCAGATTGGAAACAAGACAGGAATAGCTGCCTTAATCACTCCTATTCAATGTAGTACTGGAAGTGCTAGACATAGCAATCAGACAAGAAGAAGAAATAAAAAGCATCCAAATTGAAAAGTAAAAGTAAAACTGTCATTATTTTGCAGATGACATGACACTATATATAGAGAACCACCAGAAAACTATTAAAATTGATGAATGAATTCAGTAAAGTAGCAGAATAAAAAATCAATATCCAAAAATCAGTTGCATTTTATACACCAGCAATGAACTATCAGAAAGGGAAACTAAGAAAACAATCTCATTTATATTTGCTTAAAAAAAAACACACCTAGAAATAAATGTAATCAAGGATGTAAAAGACCTGTACTTGGAAAATTATAACACACTGAAGAAAGAAATTGAAGAAGATAGAAATAAGGGGAAGCATATGCCATATTCATGGATATGAAGAGTTAACATCATTAAAATATCTGTACCACCCAAAGCAATCTATAGATTCAATACAATTCCTATCAAGATACCAATGACGTATTTCACAGAACTAGAACAAATATTCCAAAAATTTATCTGGAACCACAAAAGACTGAATAGCCACCAAAACCTTCAGAAAGAAGAATGAAGTTGGAGGAATCATGCTACCTGAAATCAAACTATTCCACAAGGCCATAGTAATCAAAATAGCATGATACCAGCATAAAAACATAGATCAATGGAACAGAATAGAGAGCCCAGAAATAAATCCATGCTTTTATAGTCAATTAATATTTGAAAAAGGAGGCAAAAACATGCAATGGGCTAACAATAATCTACTCAATAAATGATGTTGGGAAATTAGACAGATACATACAAAAGAGTGAAACTAGACCATTTTCGTATACCATACAAAAGAATAAACTCAAAATAGATTAAAGTGTTAAATGTTAGATTCAAAACCATAAAAATCCCCAAAGAAAGCATAGGCAGTAAAATATCAAACATTTCTTGTAGCAGTATTTTTTTCTGACATATTTCCTTGGGTAAGGGAAACAATAACAAAACAAATAAACAAATGGGACTACATCAAACTAAAAAAATCTCTGCTCAGCAAAGGAAATGATCAACACAATGAAAAGACAACCCAATGAATGGGAGAACATATTCACCAATACATCTGATAAGGGTTTAATATGCAAAATTTATAAGGAACTTATAAAACTCAACACCAAAAAACCAAACAATTCAATTAAAAAATAGGCAAAGGACCTGAAATACATACTTCCCCAAAGAGGACATCCAGATGGCCAATAGACATTCGAAAAGATGCTGAATGTTACTAATCATCAGAGAAATGAAAATAAAAACCACAATGAGATATCACCTCATACCTGTCAGAATGGCTATCATCAGTAAATCAACAAACAAGTGTTGGTGAGGATATGGAGAAAAGGGAACTCATGCAATGCTGTTTGGGAATGCCTATTGGTGCAGCCACGGTGGAAAGCAGTATGGAGCTACCTCAAAAAAATTAAAAAATGGAACTGTCTTATGACCCAGCAATTCCACTTCTGGGAATATATCCAAATAAACCAGAAACACTAATTCAAACGAATATGCACCCCTATATTCATTGCAGGGTTATTTACAGTAGCCAAGATTTGGAAGCAACCCAAGTGCCTATCAGTAGATGAGTGAATGAAAAAGCTGTGGTATGGCTTACACATTGTAATACTACTTGGCTGTAAAAATGAAGGAACTCTTACCTTTTGCGACAGCATGGATAGACCTGGAGAGCATGATGCTGAGTGAAATAAGCCAGTCAGGGAAAGACAAGTACCATATGATTTCACTTATATGTGAAATCTAATGAACAAAATAAACTAACAAAGGAAGTGGAGATAGACTCGTGAGTTCAGAGAAGAGACTTATAGTTGTCAGAAGGGAGGGGCTTGGGCTCTGGGTGAGAAGGATGAAAGGATTACACACAGTATAAAAAGAAAGACTAGTGGACAGAAACTACAGTATGGTGATTGCCACAGGAAAGGGAACACGGGGGAGGTAGAACAAGGTAAAGGGGGGATGAATGGTGATGGAAGGAGACTTGACTTGGGGTAGTAAACACACAATAAAATATATAGATTGTGTACTGTAGAATTGTATACCTGAAACCTGTATAATTTTATTAACCAATGTCACCCCAATAAATTAAAAAATACATAAATAAATCTCCCTTTCCCATTAGCCCATTTTACAGTCTAGGAAACTGAGTCTATTTGTGGAAGGGATGAACAGAAGGTAGGGAGTTCTATTCTAATTTGCAGGGCAAGCACAGCCAAGAATTCTCTTTGTGGTGGAGGTAGATATATATAATCTAAAGATTAAAGATTGCTCCTCCCCTATCTCTGCAGTACGTGTGTGTTAAGTGTGTGGAGCCACAGGACTTCCTGAATGAGTGACAGCGGAACACATCTCTACAGGGGATGCTTGCAGAATGACCAATGGCGGGGGGCGGGGCGGAGGGTGATGGTGGTGGTGGTGGTGGATGAGTACCAGTCTCCACACAGGTCGGGGTGGAATCCATCACAGACACCCTATCCACCCTCCATTCCCAGCCCCGTTGGTACTTCGCTCTCTCTCCCCCGGAGTAGCACCCACGGTGCTCATCTCCTTAATGCCACTCCGGGCCGAGGACGAGTTAGGGGCGAGGCTGGAGTCTGATGACAGCAGGTTGCGGTCCCAGAGCCGCAGAGCTGCGGCTGAGAAAGCTCCCCACCCAGGCCCGCAGCCTCGGTGCCAATATGTAAAGCAGCTTCGCGGGGCGGGGCCTCCGCGCGATGCAAATGAGGGGCGTGCCTACCATACGCTCCGCCCCCCACCCCCGCAGCTGGGGCCAGCGGTGCCGAGCGCAGCTGGCCGAGCAGCGGCAGCTGGGCGAGTGACAGCCGCAGCTCCGCGCGCGCGGCCGCCAGAGCCGCGCAGGGAAGCGCCCCGGCTCCGCGGCAACAGCGGCCGCTTTCCCCGCGCCTCCCGGCCGCAGCCGGCACCCCGCGCCCCGGGCCGCCCTTCGCGGGCTCCCGCGCCCCGCACGCAAGATGGCTGACCCGGCTGCGGGGCCGCCGCCGGCCGAGGGCGAGGAGAGCACCGTGCGCTTCGCCCGCAAAGGCGCCCTCCGGCAGAAGAACGTGCACGAGGTGAAGAACCACAAATTCACCGCCCGCTTCTTCAAGCAGCCCACCTTCTGCAGCCACTGCACCGACTTCATCTGGTGAGGGCGCGCGGGGCACCTTCCCGGTCCCGAGGGCAGCGCCGCGCGCGGGGACCCTCCGCGCCCCCGAGGGACAAGCAGCCCCGTCGGCCCCGGGGGCCCTGCCCCTACCCTCTGGCCCGGACTCCGGGGTGGCCAGCCTCTGCCGGGCTCCAGCGGGCCGGCAGCCCGGCGCCTCCGGAGCGCCCCAGGCTGCTAAGAGCGTGGAGTCTGCCCCTCTTCGGAGTGCCCTTTCGCCCTGGGTTCCCTATCTCGTTACCTCCTCCTAGACTCCAGGCGCCCGCACCCCTGCCCCTCCTTCCCGGGGGCAGCGCCCTGGGTGTCCTCTCTATCTCCCTTCGGGCGCAGGGCACCCTTTCCTCCTCCTGTGTCTCCGAGGGCAGCTCCCCGTGCTCTCTCTCGTTGCGCCTCCCTGAGGGCCTGGGTTCCCCTTTGCACTCCCTAGCCCTCCCCATCACATCGCTGCAGGCCCCTTTCTCTTGCCTGCCCCTCTAGGCTTGGGGAGTCCTCTCTCCCTTCCCAGCCCCACTGGGAGCACCGCTGCCTCGGGGCCTCTCTCATCCTCGCTCTCCCTGCGTCTTTATCTCTTCTCTTTCCCCGAGGGTACTCGGGCATTTCTGCGGGCAGATCTCCCGCCTACCCTCCGACCCCCACCCCGGAAACGCCACCTGGTGGTCGCAGCCGCCTGTCTTCTGCCTTCTGAGGGGAGGTGGGGAATGCCACCGAGCTCCCCCTCCCCCTCCCTCTCTTGCTCAAAGGCGGAAGACTCTTGGGCACCGGCCTGTGGCTGGGAGGTTGCACCTGGGGTAGAGGGGCAGGGGGAAGGGAGGGGTTGACTGTGGGGAAACTAGCTGGTGGCTGGGCCCCTCCTGCTGCCTGATTTGCCTCCTTCTGCCTTTGCAGGGGCTTCGGGAAGCAAGGATTCCAGTGCCAAGGTAGGCTATGGGGCTCTGGGGATGTATTTTTGGGGAAGAAATGGTGAAAAGGACTTTCTAGAAGTGACTGAGTAAAGCCAAGAGTGAAGAAATCACGTCTGTCACAGTGACCTCCCAAGCTAGAATTCATCACCACAGAAGAGTCCTTGTAAGGGGTGTATGTATATGGGGTGATGCTCCATCCAGGAAAGGCCGGTGGAGCTGGGTGGCCTCCCCTGCCAAGGAGTGCAGCCCCCCTTTCTCCCTTCCCAGCATCAGAAGAGTCCAAATGGGTCTCTTGACCCTACCCTGCCTGGTCAGTTCAGCTTCTGGAGGACTCCTCCCCCCTAATTTCTGCTCACTTGCCCTTCTCACAGAGTGAGGTTCAGCGTCTTTCCCTGCCTCACAGAGGTCTCCGTAGAGGCTGCCACCTCTGCAGATGGTGCAGTCCCATAGAATGGTGTTGGCGGTTGTCTCCTGGGCCTCCTGAAAGAGGCGGTTCCAGATGGGATGCCTCTCAGGTCTTGGTTTAAATCGCCTGTCTTCTGGCTGGATATGGAAGGACTCCAGGAGACTCGTTACTTGCATTTGGTTTGATATCCTTGACCCAAGCCAGGGAGCCCCGCTTGGCAGTGTCTTTTAATCATGAGTAAAGTGGCCTCAGTGGTCGCTGGTTGCAAATTCACTCCCCAGAGCCAAATCACCTAGATGTGTTGAACTCTTAGGGTGTCGAACATGTTTTGAATTTGGTGTCAAGTCAGTGCTGGGAGATTTCACATACATCTCTGAATTTCCCCCTTCAAGTGTGTGAGAATTGGTCCCAATTTCTTGTTAGCACAGTCATTTGGAGCTGAATGGCTCTTTGCACAGAGGGTCACACATTTACTACTTTGTCTCCGGTGATCCTGTCCAGGCAGGCTTCTGGTTGGTCTGGAAGGCAAACCCCCACTCTCCCCAATTTGAGGCTAGGTGTGGTTAAGTTTGGTGAGGAATGGCACATTTCTGGGCTGTGTCCTAGGGGCACACCGACTGCCTTGGTGAGCTGGGTTTACATCATGAGGTGAAAGCATTTAAGCGTTAAAGAGCCAGAGATGTGGCTTAGCCCTGACTGACAATTTGGTTGTAGTGCCTCCACCCTCCAGGGGAAAGTAAAGTTGTCCCCCAGAGTGTGGGTGGCATTATCAGTTGCACTGAATGCTGGCAGCGTGGCACTGCTGTCTTCCGAGACCCCCGTGTCCTCTCACCTGAGATCTGGGGCAGGACTGGCATGGCCCCAGCCCTGTAGACCCACCAGCCTCTTACAGGGCTGTGACCTCCAGCTCCGTGCACTGCACCGGAGGACTCCCAGGTCCCAACAACTGAGATACTGGTGCAAACAGTTGGGTTGTTTTCTAGAACTTTAACCCGCTCAAGCAAAATACCCATGGTGTCTTGGTGCCAGAATGCATAGATGTTTGAGGTTACTGTTCACTTCCATGAGTCGGTTTCTGTCTTTGTCTCATGCTGAGGCCATGAATGATTGAAACATTTTTACCACGACTCTCCTGTCCCACCTGCTCTGCAGTTTTTGGTGGTTGGGAAGGTCACTGCAGAACGTGCAGGTGATGACGCACCTGAAGCAGGAGAGGATGGTAGGGATTCTCTGGTGTGGTGAGAGTGAAGCAGAATGAAAATTTCTAATGAAATATGGTTGCTTGTGAGTAGGAGTGCATTTTTTTCTTTCCCATTACCTTCCTTTTTTTCTTCTCCTTGAGAGGCATGTAGGCAGTGGGCAGTATGCACAGGTTATCATGCAGGTCACTGTGAGTCTGAATCCCTGCCATGTTCTTTGGTCTCTCTGGACCTTGGGCTCTCCACCTATAAAATGGCTCCGATAACAGTATGTACCCTAAGCTGTTGCTGAGTGGCTCATAGTGGTTGCAGCATATAAGATGCTTGGAGCAGAGCTTAGGCATAGTAAGCACCCAGAAAATATCAGACCTTATGATTGTCCCCAAATGACCCCAGTGGTGAGAGAAGACTGGCTCTGCAGTTGCTTTGTTGTGGAACCGGCTGGCTGCCAGGTGGGAATTGGAATGCAGCTGTGAGCATCTGGTCACCGTGTCACTGCTTTGGCAGTATATTCCACTTGGGCTGGAGTCTGAAGAAGCAAGACGGGGGCTGGGGCTGGTGGGCAGCCCCTGAAATTGAGATGCTTAGGATGGAGACATCCAGGAAGGGCAAAGGTTATCCTCAGGTATGCTCAGGATTTCCTGGGACTAATTTGAGCACCATAGAGGAGTTTCTCATCTGAGTATTTTTGGTGCCACATATTTCCTCTTAAAGTGAATCTAGTATACAGAAAATACATTAGATTTTATTCTCACCCTGAAGTCAGGAGTACAGAAGTCAGGTTCCTTTCAGTTTTCTGCTCCACTGTCCCAGGAGTGATGATGATCTCAGGGTCCAAGAAGGATGCTAGACCCTTCAGTCATCACATCCTTATTTTAGTCAGCAGGAAGGAGAGTAAAGAAGGGCACTGTTACTGTGGAAGTTGCCACAAGATACTTCTGCCTCTGTGCTTTTAGTAGAACTTGATGGCATACCCACACTGTGCTGCAAAGGAGAATGTTAATTTCAAGTAGCCACTTTCCCTACTAAAAGCAAAGGTGTGTGTGTGAGCGATGTGTTCTGTTTCAAAAGTAGAAGGGGAGGGAGGATACAGTCTCTGCCATTCTTGGCTAGGAGGTGTGTAGGACGATCACAAGGAGAGGAAACCACTGAGCCTCTGTGCTCCATTATGCTGTCATGGAAGCTGGGGATGCTGGGATGGGTGAGAGGATGAACTCCAGTCCAGACACCATGAGAAGGGTGGGTTTCTGCACACTCACGGGGGCTTAAGAATAGATTTTCTTATTTTGTTTTATTTATTTATTTATTTATTTATTTATTTATTTTTCTTTATTGTATTTAGAGAGAGGAAGGGAGAGGGAGAGAGAGATAGAAACATCAATGAGAGAGAGCACCGATTGGCCACCTCCTGCATGCCCCCCACTGGGGATTAGGCCCACAACCTGGGCATGTGTCCTGACCAGGAATCGAACCAGCAACCTCTTGGTGCAGGGTCGACGCTTAACTACTGAGCCATGCCAGCCAGGCAGATCTACTTATTTTGTACTGCTAGAGGACAGGAATGTAGATGGACTGCCACACAATCTCTCTCTTTGTGTTTCTACTCTCTGTGCTTTGATTTAAGAGGTAGTTTAAGGATGTCTCTGGTGGCATGGGGCTGGGGCTCAGACTCCTTGTTATGAAACTGCTTCGTTTTTGGATTAGAAGTGGGACTTTTAGGTAAGCAAAGCGAGTTCTCTCTGTGGCATTCTTTAGGGGAGCTTCTCTCTGTGGCATTCTTTAGGGGAGCCTAGAAACTGCTCTGTGCTTTAGTTGTAATTAAGATGAGCCTGTGAGTGGAATTAGACTCTTACCCCAAGAAGTTTTTGCACTTTGGTGGAGAGGAATTTTTTTGGTTTTTAAAAAGGAAGTCACTTCAGTAGAAACAGGAAGGCAATACAGTACAGAAATTCAGAATTGGTAGCATGGGCTGGAGTGAGATCAAACTGGGGTGAATCTCTGCTCTGCCAGCTACTCGCTGTGTGACCTTGGGCAAGTCATCCGCCTGTAGGGACCTCAGTTTTCTCATCTGTAATGTGAGTCTAGTGATGCCTACCTTATAGGGTTACGGTGAAGAGTACTGAGAAGCATTCACACGAAGTGCCAGTGGCTCTAGGTGAGATGATCATCAGTACTTGATTGGCTGCAGGAAACCGTGGGACACAGTTAACTCTGGAAGTCTTCAGATGACTGTGCCTCTTCTGTGTATGTAGATGGGTTTTCTTCTCAAGTATGTTTCCTCATAGGCTTTGGGTAACACCAGGGAGTGTGCAGCTCAGTGTTTGGGCCCCAACAGCCAGGCCTGTTGAGAGTGTCTTTTCTCACCCGTCCTTGTGAGAAAGCTCTGAACTTGCGTGGACTCCATAGAAAACCCCAGGGCACTAGTTTTATGACTGTGAAGAATTGGTGATTATAATGAGAAAACCAGTTCTTCCCTTTCCTGTGTAGACTAGAAAACATGGTTTTAACTCTTCCAGTAGAAATTATTCTTAAAAAAACCCCGGTGTAGTGCGTGAACCCAGCCATCGCTATTTCATCATCAGCTCCACAGAAGAGTTCATTTCCGTCTGCTGTTACCGCATGCGGGTAGACGATGCACTTTTTGAACAATGTCCATCAAAGGTGAATCAAAGGTTAATTTTATTTTTGGCATCACTTTTCCTACTGACTATAATACGATAATCTGCATGTCAGGTTGAATGTTCTCAGTGCAGGCGTCAAGGGAGCGCGCGTGCGTGCGCGCGTACGCGTGCGTGCATGTGCGTGCGTGCGTGCGTGTGTGCGTGCGCGCGCGCATCGCTGCGAGCTGCCGGAACTTGCTTCCGTGACCCTACTGCTCTCCCTTCCAGAAGCGACCTCGGGGGCCGCAGTGACTCCCTCACCTTTTGGCTTATTCTGAATATGTCCTCAGGTTCTGTGTGGATAAAAGACTTTGTATTTGATGGTTTGACTTTTTAATTCTTTCCCCAAGCCGAAGTGGGATTTCAGGCCCAAAGTCTCAACTGAAATAAAAATCTGTAGGTGGATTAGTGTTGGTCTTCAAAGGAGGACTGCTTTGCTGGAGAGGCAGCAATGCCTTCATCGGCAGAGCACTCAGGGACAGTCTGGGCAGCGGACTTGTTTTCCACGTAAGTATGGAGAGTATGACCTTTGAAAATCGAGTTGATACAAGTTTCTTCGAAAGTTGATTAAACAGTGTTTTGTTTCTGAGTACTACTAATACTCCAGGTACTGCCCAGAATGTGTCTACATACAGCATGTTTATGATGTATGTCGGTCCATAGAGAAAAATAGAGAGAGAAGGTCACTGGTCAAAAGATAAACGGAAGGTTTGAAAATAATTTAAACACATTCTTGCTGTGGGAGGTTCT